AGCGAGGGTTTTGGGTGGGGGTGCTGATGGGTTAGCCTGGTGATATATATCCAAGATCTATAAAGAACTTGGTGTTAAGTTGGGAACACGGGTGTTAAGGAGGGAACATACAGCTTGGAGCACTGGGTGTCATATGCAAACAATGAGTCATAGAACACTACCTCAAAAATTAATTATGTACTGTATGGTGATTAATGTAACATAATAAAAAAGATTTTATTTGAAAGAGACAGTGCATGCATGCATATACGCACAAGAGGGAGAGGGGCAGAGAGAGAGGCAGCAGCAGATTCCCTGCTGAGCCAGACAGGGGGATTGGTCCCAGAACCCTAAGATCATGACCTGAGCCAAAGGCAGAGCTTAACGAACTGAGTCATGTAGGAGCCCCTCAACTCATATTTTCAATTTACGATGGATTTATCCAGATGTAATCCCATCATAAGTCCAGGAAGATCTGTACACTGATACCTCAACTTCATTTAAAAAAAAATTTACTTATTTATTTAAATATTTTATTTGTTTATTTGAAAGAGAGTGAAAGCAAGAGAGATCACAGAGGGAAAGGGAGAAGCAGACTTGCCACTGAGCAGAAAGCCTGATGCGGGGCTTGATCCCAGGACCCTGAGATAATGACCTGAGCCAAAGGCAGATGCTTAGCTGATTGAGCCACCCAGGCGCCTTGATATCTCAACTTCAATGTGAATAATTAATTAACAAAAGTAATGGGGGTGAGGGTGAAATGACAGCATCAGTATTAATATCATTTTCCACTGAATATTCTATTAGAAGTTTGCATAGTAATGTCACATAATTGAAAAAATTGCTTCTCTATATTTTAGGCTATGTGGGGAAAGTATCGACAAGTAGACAAAGAGTAAACAGGTCATCAGTAAAAATGATAGATCCTGGATAATATTAAAACCTAAAATTCTGTTCTTAAGTAGCTAAAATTGGCTGTATTTATATGATTGAAAATCTAAATCATAATTCATGCACACTGAGGCTTTAAAAATAATGGGAATGGATAGGAATTACTGATTTCTAATTGTTAAAAAATATGACAACTAGAGAAAGAAATTTATGCTTCCAATTTTTTAACTTATAGAAAGTCATCTGAAAATACTGTACGTGCTTTGACAAATAATAAACTAAGCTTAACTTAAAGTTAAGCTTTGACCTACTGGTAATTACGAAGGGAATAAAAAAAATGTTCAACTTCTTCATTAGAAAAGTCATACAGATCGCAGTGTTTCATTATTTTTCTTTTTTTTTAAAGATTTTATTTATTATTTATTTGACAGACAGAGATCACAAGTAGGCAGAGAGGCAGGCAGAGAGAGAGGAAGGGAAGCAGGCTCCCTGCTGAGCAGAGAGCCTCATGTGGGGCTCGATCCCAGGACCCTGGGATCATGACCTGCGCCGAAGGCAGGGGCTTTAACCCACTGAGCCACCCAGGTGCCCCTCATTATTTTTCTTTTTGAAGTACACATTAAGAAGGGCAGAAGAAAGATATGGACAGAAAATTAGTAAGTACTTCTTGGGAATATTTTTAGCCTTTATCAAACAACTGTACCTCTAATTATAGCTACACAAGGTACTGTGATTTTTGAATATAGTTTAGTAAGCTAATTATTATTTACAAGTTTAAACAAAAATTATCAGTGTGGTACAGGGTGACTTCAGTCTTTCCACTGGGAAATGAAAACATTCCAAAGACTAAAAGTTTTAAAGATGAGATTAAGATAGTAGTATTAAATCCATCATGTAACTAGTAATGTCTTGTTATAATAATGTTATTTCAACATGTTCAAAACTAAGCAGGATTTCCCCCCAGCTACGTAGGTTACTCTCTTTTCCTTTTCTTCAGAGCAGAAGAAACTCTCCCATATAGCTGTAGCTTGGAAATACTTTACTTTTTTTGAAGATTCTATTCATTTATTTGAGAGAAAGAGAAAGAGCCAGAGAGAGGGCATGAGTGGAAGGGAGGGGCAGAGGCAAAAGCAGACTCCCCACTAGACAGGGAGCCCAACATGGGGCTCAATCCCAGGACCCTGGGACCATCACCTGAGCCAAAGGCATATTCCTAACCAACTGAACCATCCAGGTACTCTGCTTAGAAATACTTTAAATCACATGTTTGGGTTTTGTGAAAAGAGTTGAGTAGCCTAGTTACATTTATATTTACTCTAGTACTCCATTTATATTTCACTTTAAGATGATGAGAACTCAAAACCAGACAAAGACCCCACCAAAAAGAATTACAGACCAATATCCCTGATGAACATGGATGCAAAAATTCTCACCAGGACACTAGCTAATAGGATCCAACAGTACATTAAAAAGGATTATTCACCATGACCAAGTGGGATTTATTCCTGGGCTGCAAGGGTGGTTCAACATTCGCAAATCAATCAATGTGATACAATACATTAATAAAAGAAAGGGCAAGAACCATATGATCCTCTCAACAGATGCAGAAAAAGCATTTGACAAAATACAGCATCCTTTCTTGATAAAAACTCTCAGCAGGGTAGGGACAGAAGGAATATACCTCAAGATCATCAAAGCTATATAGAAAGAACCACGGCTAATATCATCCTCAATGGGGAAAAACTGAGAGCTTTTCCCATAAGGCCAGGAACATGACAGGGATGTCCACTCTCACCACTGTTGCTCAAGATAGTATTGGAAGTCTTGGCCTCAGCAATCAGACAACAAAAAGAAAAAGGAATAAAAGGCATCCAAATCAGCAAAGAAGTCAAACTCTCACTCTTAGCAGATGACATGATCCTCTGTATGGAAAACCCAAAGACTCCACTCAAAAATTGCTAGAACTCATACTGGAATTCGGCAAAGTCACAGGATATAAAATTAATGCACAGATGTCAATTGCATTTCTATACACTAACAATGAGGCAGAAGAAAGAGAAATCAAGGAATTGATCCTATTTACAATTGCACCAAAATCCATGTGATACCCAGGAATAGGTATTCCTAACCAAAAAGGTAAAGGATCTGTACTCTGAAAACTATAGAACACTTATGAAAGAAATTGAGGGAGACACAAGAAATGGAAAACTTTCCATGCTTATGGATTGGAAGGACAGATAGTGTTAAAATGTCTAAGCTAACCAGAGCAATACACATTCAATGAAATCCCTATCAAAATACCATCAGCTTTCTTCATGGAGCTGGAACAAACAATCTTAAACTTCATATGGAACCAGAAAAGACCATGAGTAGCCAAAGAAATGTTAAAAAAAAATAAACTCAAAGCTGGAGGCATCACAATTCCGGACTTCAAGCTGTATTACAAAGCAGTAATCATCAAGACAGAATGGTCCTGGCACTAAAGCAGACACATAGATCAATGAACAGAATAGAGATTCCCAAAATGGACCTTCCACTCCATGGTCAACTAATCTTTGACAAAGAGAGAAAGAATATCCAATGGAAAAAAGACAGTCTCTTCAACAAATGGTGCTGGAAAAACTGGACAGCCACATGTAGGAGAATAAAACTGGACCACTTTCTTACATCTTACATATAAATAAACTCAAAATGGATGAAAGACCTAAATATGAGAGTGGAATCCATCAAAATCCTAGAGGAGAAAATATGCAGAAATCTCTTTGACCTTGGCTGCAGCAATTTCTTGCTAGACACATCTTCAAAGGCAAGGGAAACAAAAGCAAAAATGAACTTTTAGGACCTCATCAAAATAAAAAGCTTTGCACAGCAAAGGAAACAGTCAACAAAACTAAAAGACAACCGACAGAATGGGGAGAAGATAAATGCAAATGTCTTATCAGATGAAGGGCTAGTATCCAAAATCTATAAAGAACTTACCAAACTCAACACCTAAAATACAAATAATCCAGTCAAAAAATGGTCAGAAGACATGAACAGACATTTCTCCAAGGAAGACATACAAATGGCCAACAGGCACATGAAAAGATGTTCAACATCATTTGGTATCAGGGAAAAATAGATCAAAATGACAGCGAGGTATCACCACACACCAGTCAGAATGGCTAAAATTAACAACTCAGGAAATAACAGATATTGGCAAGGATGTGGAGACAGGGGAACTCTCTTACACTGTTGGTGGGAATGCAAGCTGCTATAGCTACTCTGGAAAACAGTATGGAGGTTCCTCAATAAGTTAAAAATAGAGCTACCCTATAAACCAGCATGTGCACTACTAGATATCTATCCAAAAGATACAAACACAGTAATTCAAAGGGGCACCTGCACCTCAATGTTTATAGCAGCAATGTCCACAACAGCTCAAATATGGAAAGAGCCCAGATGTCTATCAACAGATGAGTGGATAAAGAAGAGGTGGTGTGTGTGTGTGTGTGTGTGTGTGTATACATATATATATATATATATATAATGGAATATATATAAAATGGAATATCACTCAGCCATCAAGAAGAATGAAACCTTGCCATTTGCAATGATATGGATGGAAGTAGAGGATATTAATGCTAAGTGAAATAAGTCAGTCAGAGAAAGACAAATACCACATGATTTTACTCATATGTGGAACTTAAGAAAAAAACAAATGAATATAGAAGGGAAGGAATAATAAAATAAGATGAAAATTGAGAGGGAGGCATACCATAAGAGACTCTGAACTGTAGGAAACAAACTGTGGGTTGCTGGAGGGGAGGTGGGGAGAGGGAAGGGATAATTGGATGATGGGTGAAAGGAGAGCACTTGATGAAATGAACACTGGGTGTTACATGCAACGGATGGATCACTAAATTCTATCCCTGAAACTAATAAAAAATAATAGTCAAAAAAAGAGAAAAAAAATAAAATGATGGGAAATCATATTAAGTGACAAAGTGTTAATAAAGGCTGGACAAATTACTTAATCTCTCTGTCCCTAAACTTGTCTCTAGGATGAGGCTAACACTGTTAAGAGAATTTTAAAAAATCATTTAACATACTCAGTACATATAAGCGATCAATAAATGTTAGCTCTACGGTTATACAATAAAATGGTTACTCACTCTTTTGTTGAGACAAATAACAGGCCACAGGCTGCAACCCAGTGTGCAACAGCAGCAGAGACAACCACATAGTAGCCATTTCACATTGACCGGGAGAGCCTTTTTCAAACATGCATTCACGCGGCCAATGCTGGTCTTAAATTCTTCCGGGGCCACCTATAACAAGAGTGCAATCTTTACTTAACATTTTGTGGGCAGCTTTCCACTATTTATCTCTAAATGTGAAGAAAATGTTTGTCTTTTACAAACACTTTAAGGAATTACATGTCTAAATAGATTTCCTCCTTTAATGTATTACCATACTCTTGGATGACATTATAAAGCAAAACAATATAATTTCATGTTTACAGAACGTAATTCTGATGTTCAAAAATAATCTTCTGAAATTACCAGCATTAAAATGACAGCAAAATTGGTGGTAAAGAATACCTGTCAAGCAGTTTTTCTACCAAACATTCTCATTATTCAGGCAATATTATAGTCTCCAATTATTCTCGCTTGTAAGACCAGAAGCATAATGTAACAATAAAAACCTAAATACTGCCAGAGGAAATGGAATTAAAATTAGACTCTGGTTATATTCCTGGATTACTTTTAAATAGGCAACTCTTGAAACTTTCTCCCTGGCAAATTTGCAGCACAATTTTAATACTTGCCATCATTTGTAGGGAAAATTACACTAATAAGACAGTGAGGAGTAACGACATTAAAAAAGGGTCTTAATATTCAGCATAAAATGTACTCAAAAAACTGCTGTAAATTTTGAAATTTGAAAGGTTTTTAAATATACAAATTTAATATCTTAATTACTACCACCATTCCTGGAAGTGGCTGCTTGTGCCTCTCTGTAAACAATGACAAAGTTAGTTCAAAGGCAAGAGCATGACAGGCATAATTAGATTTATACCGAAAATTCTGCTTGAAGGTTATACAATTCAAAGGCATACTAAAAATAGTTTGCTTTCAGTGAAATCACATTTGTGGATCACAAAAATTATTCTCTTTCATTTAGAAAGCTGTCAGACTGTAAAATCTATGGGAAAAAATTCTAGCATCTGGCTGGGCATGCAAAAATTATGAAAATATTAGAAAAAAATAAGCTGCTATAAAATAAAAACCCTATTAACATGTTAGGTGTATAAAATATGGAGTTTTACAACTCTTCCAAGTAAAAATTGTAGTAGAGAATTCAATTTATTACATTTTTGTCTTTTAATAGATATATCTTAGAATCAACACTATAAAAACATGCAGATGTTATAAATATAATGACCAAAGAATTCAGCACCATCATGATTAAAACATTATACTAGCTTTATTAGAATTGTTCACGCCACTCAATAAAGTTAATTGCTTAACCCATACATTTGATTTTCTTCCTAATATGTTAACCAACAATAGTTGTAAAATTGCAAGGCTCAAAAAACTGTTTTTACATGGGTATGTAAACTAATCTATACACTCCAACTAAATTGCTGGCAATATGACTTAAGACAATCACTGAGTAAAAAGAATTTCAATTAAATGACTAACTTCCTGGGGTAAATATGAAAATAAATTCAGAGAACCAAGCCTTGTAACTGGAAAACAGAAAATGCTAACAGGCTAAGCATATCAGACAATAAATGAAGATTTTCATTTAATAAGTAATAATAATAAGTAATAGTTACTTATTAGCTATGAAAAATCATAGGCAAATTCATTTAATTTTTCTGAGTTTTAGTTTCTCCTATATAAAATGAAAATAATAACCTTTGTCTCATATATCTTACAGGAAATGGCCTCATATCTTAAAAAGAACCTCATTAACCAGAATGCTTTGAAAAAGGAAGCCACTTCCTCTTGACTAGATTTGGAGAAAGAAAAGCAAAGCTCTCTTTTGCATGGTCTCACCTGAAGGCAAGGCATTTGATCAGGTAACCATTAATAATCCATAGCCTTGCTACATGTTCTATTATAAACAAAAGGCTAATTGGCTACATTTTGTTTTTCAATTTTTCATTTTAATTCCAGTAAGTTAACATACAGTGTTATATTAGTTTCAAGTGTATAATAGAGTAATTCAACAGTTCCATACATTACCCTGTGCTCTTCAAGACAAGTGCACTCAATCCCCATCACTACTTCACTCATCCCCCCATAACCATCAGATTGTTCTCTATAATTAACAGTCTGTTTCTTGCTTTGTCTTATTTTTTCCCTTTACTTGTTTTGTATCTAAAATTCCACACACAAGTGAAATCCTACAGTATTTGTCTTTCTCTGGCTGACTTATTTCACTTAGCATTAAATATACTCTCTAGTTCCATCCATGTTGTTGCAAATGGCAATATTCTATTCCTTTATATGGCTGAATAATATTGCATTTTGTGGATATATCTATATCTGTATCTGTAACTATATATCACATTTTCTTTATCCATTCATCAGTCCATGGACACTTACACTGCTTCCATACTTTGGCTCTTGTAAATAATGCTGCTATAAACATTGAGGTGCATATATCCCTTTGATTTAGTGTTTTCGTACTCTTTGGGTAAATACCTAGTAGTGTGATTGCTGGATGATAAAGCAGTTCTATTTTTAACTTTTTTGAGGAACTTCCATACTGTTTTCCATAGTGGCTGCACCAGTTTGCATTCCCCACAGTATAGTACCTAAGTGTTCTTTTGTCTCCACATCGTTCTTATGGTAGTACCATACTGTTTGGGTTATTATGGCTTTGAAATATAACTTGAAGTCTGGAATTGTGATGCCTCCAGCTTTGCTTTTCTTTTTTAAGATTGCTTTGGTTATTTGGGGTCTTTTGTGGTTCCAGACAAATTTTAGGGCTGTTGATTCTAGTTGTGTGAAAAATGCTGTTGTAGACTGCATTAAATCTATAGACTGCTTTAGGTAATATAGGCATTTTAACAATATTTGTTTTTCCAATCCATGAGCATGGAATGTCTTTCCATTCCTTTGTGTTGTCTTGAATTTCTTTCATCAGTGATTTATGGTTTTCAGAGTACAGGTCTTTCACCTCTTGGGTTAGGTTTATTCTTAGGTGTCTTATTATTTTGGATGAAATTGTAAATGGGATGTTTTCTTAATTTCTCTATCACTTCATTGTTAGTGTATAGAAATGCAACAGATTTCTGTACATTGATTTTGTATCCTGTGACTTAAATTTGTTTATCAGTTCTAGCAATTTTTTGGTGGGGTCTTTAGGATTTTCTATATATAGTATCATATCATCTGCAAATAGTGTAACTTTTACTTCTTCCTTGCTGATTTGGATGCCTTTTATTTCTTTTTGCTGTCTGACTGCTGTGGCAAGGACTTACAGTACTATGTTGAATACAGGTGGTGAGAGCAGACATCCCTGTTTTGTTCTGTTTTTCACCATTAAGGATGATGTTAGCTGCGGATTTTTCATAGGTGGCCTTTATTATGTCGAGGTATATTCTCTCTAAACTTATTTTGTTAAGAGTTCTTATCATGAATGTGCATTTGAAAAGAATGTGTATTCTGCTGTCCTAGGAGGGAATGTTCTGAATATCTGTTAAGTTCATCTATTCCAGTGTGTCATTCAAAGCCATTGTTTCCTTATTGATGTCCTGTTTAGACGATCTGTCCACTTAATGTAAGTGTGGTGTTAAAGTTCCCTACTATTACTGTATTATCATGGATTAGTTCCTTTATGTTTGTTGTTAACTGTTTACATATATAATTTACATTTAAACAATTATCATATCTTCATATCTTATAGCATATAATTCATATATCATATAATTCATGTATCTTCATGTTGGATTATCCCCTTTACTATTATATATTGTCCTTTGCTTCTTGTTACAGTCTTTGGTTTAAAGTCTGTTTTGTCTGATATAGATATTGCTATTCTGGCTTTCTTTTGATATCCATTTGAATGTTAAATGTTTCTCAATCCTCTCACTCTCAATCTGTAGGTGTCCTTAGGTCTAAAATGGGCCTCTTGCAGGCAGCAAATAGATGGGTGTTTTTTTTTCTTAATCCATTATGCCACCCTATGTCTTTTGATTGAAGCATTTAGTCCATTTACATTCAAAGTAATTACCAATAGATATATATTTATTGCCATTTTATTACTTGTTTTGTGGTTGTTTCTGAAGACTTTCTCTGATCCTTTCTTGTCTTTTTTCATGTTTTGCTTATTTCTTTAATGATATGTTTGGATTTTTCTCTCCATTCTTTGCATATCTATTAGTGGTTTTTGATATGTGCTTACCATAAGGTTTGTATATAACCTCTTCTGCATATAGCAGTCCATATTTTTGATGGTCATTTAACTTTGAACATATTCTTTTCTCCTGTCCTCCACACCTTTTAGGTATGTTATTGTATTTTATATCCTTTCTTTGTGAGTTTGACTTTTTTGCAGAAAAATTCATTTTTACTGCTTTTGTGTTTCCTGCATCTATACTGTCACTTTTGGTCTCTCTACTCAAAGAGGCCCTTTTAATATTTCTTGCAGAGCTGGTTTAATGGTCATGAACTCCTTTAGCGTTTGCTTGTCTAGAAAACTTTATCTCTCTTTGTATTGTGAATGATAGCCTAGCCAGGTAGATAGAGTATTCTTGGCTGCAGATTCTTCCCTTTCAGCACCTTGAATATATCATGTTACCCATTTCTGGTTTGCAAAGTTTCTTTTGAAAAACCTCCTGCTAGCCTTATGGGTTTTCCCTTGTAATTTAATGACTTCTTTTGTCTTGCTGCTTTTAAAATTTTTTATCACTATATTTTAATTTAATGACAATATATCTCTGTGTTGGTCTGCTTTTGTTGATTCTGTTGAGGGGGGGTTCTCTGTGCCTCCTGGATCTAGATCTCTCTTTCTTTCCCAAGATTAGGGGAACTTTCAGCTCTTATTTCTTCAAATAAATTTTTTGCCCCCCCCCCCCTTTCTCTCTTTTCTTTTTCTGGGATTCCTATAATATGAATGCTATTACATTTGATGGAGTCACTCAGCTCTCTCTGTTTATTCTCATTTTGCATCTTCTCTTTCTTTTCTCCCTCTTGTTCAGCTTCATTATTTTCCATTACTTTGTCTTCTAGGTCACTAATTCATTTCTCTGCTTCTTCCATCCTCTGTTTATTCCATCAAACATGTTTCTCATTTCTTTATTATTATTTTT